CTCATTTAATATGTAATCAAATAGAAGCTGATAAAATGAAAAAAAAAGACGAGTTTTATAAATAGATTGGCAAAGTGCAGCATTTATTTGGATTCGTACTATGTTTCTTTTATATCATAAGACATATATCGCAGTTGATAGGAGAACTTAGTTGTGTTTGGAATGTGCAAATTAATTTTTAAAAAATTCTTTTAGAAAAATATTTATCATAAGAGTAAAGCTTTATAAACAAGATGAATTAATGGATTTAGAGAAGAGTTCACAAAAAGAAATTGTATTAAACAGAATAACTAATCAAAACGAAAAACGAACAATTTTTGTAGTGACAAAATTTCAGTTTTCTCTGGCTACTCTATTTCATTTGCTGTTATTTAGAAATAAAGATCAAGTGGATTCTTTTTGTTTTTCTTCGAAGCCATTTTAGGGTTCTGTATGGGTTTTCTTTAGTTTAAGTCAATTCTGATTGCTTTTTGGTATATGATAAAATTTGTCATGTGTTTCATTTTGATATTTTCAATATGAAGAAGAACAAAAACCAATAAAAATAGACAGTAAATTGATATGCTATCCAAAAATTCAATGCAATAGCTGTTATGCATCATAAACAATCGATTACACTGTTTTGACAATTAAATTAACCTTCAATTTCGTTAGTGCTCAAAGTGTCAGAAATGCAAAATTACAGCAGAAGTTTTTTTTTTCTTTTTTTTTATGTGTGGTTAGATACAGCGTGACGAAGTGTGATCAAAAACATGTGCGTTTTCAATTTATTAGAATGCTATTTTTTAAGGAAAAAGTTTTAGTTTTTTTTCAGATGGTTTGCTTCTTTCTGAAAAATATGTTAATTTTTAATGGTTGACATATTTTAAAATCTTCATTTCCTGTAAATCTCAAAACTATTTGCTTTAAATGTAGTATGAAAAATGAAATCTTGACAACTTATTTATGAATTAGTTTCCGAGATTCAATATTTCATGCTAAATTTGAACCAGACAGTTTTAAAATTTAAAGGAAATGAACAACCTAAAAATATGTCAATTATCGAAAATTGACCTGTTTTTCAGAAAGAACCAGACCATCTGAAGTAAAACTAAAAATTGAAGAGGCATATATTCTTGATCATGTCACCACGCTCTATCTAACCATACATGAAGTAAAGAAAAAGGAAAGACTTGCACTATAATTTTACAAATCCGATATTTTAAGCACTAATACATTACGCTCTGATGCCATAATTATAAGACATACATGTAATGCTACACATCCTTGTTTTTAAAAATCGCCCGCATCAACTTCTGCTCACGGGAATAAATACTTTTTGAAAAAACATTATTTCGGAAAATTCTCCGCCCCTCAATCGTCTTATATCTCGGAAACAAAAAAAAAAGTATTGTTAAAATCTATATAAAACTAGTCAATTTATTATTGTTTATGTATAGAATAACAATCAAGACATATTTCTACTATTAAGTCAACTTCAAAATACAATTCAATCATATTAATGAAAAAAAAAACCAAGGCTTTTTAATACATTCACCATATCGTTTATTACAGAATTACAAAACATTATTTCAATTTCAACTAAATTCTAAACTCATCTGTTATATTAAACATCACAAAAATCGGTTTGAATTAATTTTCACTATCGATCAGTAAAACAAATAGAATACAATAAAAAAATCATTTATCAAGGGTTTATAACAACAAAAAAAAAAGGAAATATTGTATTTTCTATTTATTTCCCTGGTTATAATAGGAAGTTTAACTCCAAGATTCAAAACAATTTCACACTACATGGTACATGATGGGTTCTATCCTTGTACCACCTAGCCTTTTATTTCAACTATTTTTTTTTACAAAAAAAAAAAATCCATAACAATGAAAAAAAAATCGAATTATTTTCATTTAGTTCTTGTATAATAACTATAATTAATTGCTGCATGTTTTTTAACTTGATCAGCAATACGATCAATATTTGTATTATCTGGTGTTATTATAAGATTAGATTCATCCGACTTTATTGAAGTTTTATTTTGTTGTTTGGAAATATATGTACTAACATATTTATCATCAATTTTCATCCATGATTGTGGCATTTCTTCAGTACTAAAAAGAAAATTTTAAGAACAAAAAAGAAAAACAAATAAAATAAAATTTAATAAGAAATTTTACCGTTGACGATATGTCTTAAATGTTGATGATGTCTGTTCATAATTATTAAGATTTGATGAATATGTTGCAGTTCCAACAGGTGGATAAAGTGCTCGACGTAATGTATTAAGATCAACACAAACACCATGTGGTTGTAAACGTTGAAGTTTTTCATATATTTGTTGACATTGTTGTTCATCATTTGGTAATAATGTTACTTCTGGTCCATGAATATCAATACGTTTTGGTGGTGCACTTTCTGAATGTCGTTTTGATTTAGTTTTAATATGAAAAGATTTTTTTTCTGGAATAGGTATTTTTTCATTACGACGTTGTTTACATGATGATGTTCGTCGACAATTTCTATCTATATTTGATTGTGTTGCCATTGTAATTGGTGCAGATTGGATTCGAGATGATGAATTTTTTGTTGGTGTTTGCTTCTATAATTAAAGACATACGTTAGTAAAAAAAAAAGAAAGTCTTCTTTTCTTTTTTTTTTCTTCTCGTTTTTTTTTATAATAATAACATCAATGTTGATGAGCTTAGATGCGTTGTGCGAAAGCACTCAAGAAAAAAAGACATATGCTGTTGATGGAATGAGGATATAGGATCCGACTCGTGTATGCATCAAAAAAGAAAAGAAAGAAGAAAAATTTTTATTATCTACCTACGTATTGACCTGTTGGTATACTCAATGATAATAGTTACGAACAAATATTGTAGTTCCCTTTTTTCTTTCAATGAAAAAGAGAGTGTAGTTAACAAACATGTTTTATATTTTTTTTTCTATTTTACGAAATATTTTTTTTTTCGGTTTGATGAACTAGTTTCCATATAAAATTTATCTCTCTAGTAGAATGATAAATTTTGAATATATGTTTTTCATTATTCATTAGCAAGAATACATTAAATTAGTCATTAGTTAAAAGTAATTTCGATGAAAGCAATTATCATGATGAAATTTTCTTTCGACTTTATCGGACAAAAAATAGTCATAAATTTTATTAATATCTTCTCCAAATACACTTCAATAAAGGAGTTTTTGTTGTTGTTCTTGTTTTTTCAAATTTACTAAGTGAATATTTATAATATAAAAATAAAAATCTTACTTTAGATATTGGAGGTGTCTTGTTATTATGTTGAATAGTTGCACTTGATACACGTGTCACTGTAGATTTTTCTTTCAATTGATTCGTAGCTGATGTTTGACTTACTTGACCGTTATCAAAAGTAAATGTATTTGTTGTCATTTGATGAGATTGTTCTATATCAAATGTTGCTTTCATTTTTTCTAGTTGTGTATAAAATTGTTGAATAAGAATGTGTTTATTAGTAATATCTAATGGTTGATTATCATCATAATGTACAGTAGCTAGATGAACAGAAGGATTAGATTTTGATGATATGTCTACATTAGACAATTGATAACGACCAATTAATGAATGTGGTTTCTGTTGCTAGAAATGAAATATTTCGTAAAGAAGATCAAATTTTTTTCTAGCTCCATTCGAATAAAAACGGCAAATTTCTGAGTATACTCTTAAAAATGCGTGCTTTTTTTTAGTCGGAGCCTTTTTTGTAAATCTTGATAACAATCAGACGTCTTCTAATACTCTGACGGTTCTGAAACAATGATTAAACTATTGAAAAAATTTTTAAAATCATATCAAATTAATCATAACTCAAAATGAATAGAATCAAATAAAGATATTTAAGATTGTTTCTAATAGAAAATGTAGTTTTCTGTTGGAATCAATGGCTATCATACATTTTATTGAACATGTTGAAATACAAATTTAATATTTATCGTATAAATGGTTTTTTTTCTTCACTTAGCTTTTATTACAAAATATGAACACTCGAAGATTTATAACATCTTAAAACAAGATATCCGTTTAATATAAAATATTATGTCATACCAATTTCGTTTGATCGACAAGTTCACAAACACTTGATATTGTTGTATTATCACATAAATTAGTATTATCCGTTGTAATCTCGATATTTATTGGTATCTGACAACTATAATAATAATAAAAAACATTTCAAACTAAAGAACAATCATATTTACATACTTTGAATCTGGGATCTGATTCTGACTACTAGAATAAAAAGTATATAAAATGTATTCATCTAACGAGACAATGTTATCAACCATCGGACACTATTTAATATTAGAATTTAGCTATAAGTGGATTTCTTTAAAAATGAAATTAAGTCTAAAAGGATTCTTCAAAGATTTTTTTATCAGAAGGTATTTTGAAACAATGATGTACAACATGAGATTTTAACATAGGAAATTCATGGATATCTGAACTATTTTAGACATTTTTTAGCCTTGTAAGTATTCATTCATAGTTCAAATGAACACTTTCGAGTGACCGGACAATGCGTCGTGGACATCGAGGTGTAAATGAGAATCTTTTGCATACTCTCACCTACCATTCATTTTCGATACTCCTTCAGAATACTTTAAGACTAACATGTTCGTACGACGAATTATCCTAGCATTAAACTTCTGATAGTTAGAAAGATTTTCTTCATAAGTCTAAACTCGTACTTCATCGTCAATGTATCATCAATTGAACGACCAACAATCGGTGTTGTTGTTGGACCATCGTACATTGTAAATGTTTCTACAATTCAATATGAATCAATAACAAAAAAAAAAAAAAATGAAAAGAATTATTTTTGCAATAAATTCTACCTGATAGATTAGTTGAATGTTTTGTAAATTCTTTTTTTGATTGTTCTTTTGTTGATGGTAATATTGCTAAATGACGAATTGGTTTTGCTACAACCATATCAGTCACTGTAGTAACATTTGGTTTTTTTGATGGAACATTTATTGTTAGACGTTTTACTTGAGGTATAATTGTCATCATTGTTGCAGTAATATCTCTTTGTTGCTTTTCACTACTAATAAAATTCTATTTTTATATTAATATAAAAGCGAAAGAAAAAAATGATCTATACGTTTCAATAGTTATTTGATTTTCATCTAGAAAACATTTCACTTCAATCGGTTTAATATTCTCAATATGATTTGATTTTGTAATTTGACTTATCTATAAAGAAATTAAAATAATCAAAATATTTTTCTTGTAATTTGTATTTTGTTTTTGTTTTTAATTCATTTACTCACAATTTTTTTCTTGTTTTTAATAGTCGACGATTGAATAGACATAATCTGAAATATGAAAAAGAAAAATAGAGAAAAAATCGGTGAAATTAACTAATATAAATTTTTCAAATGAAAAAATAAAATATATAAAATGAATTCTTAAATAGTAAAATTCGGTATATAAACTGCACTTTTATATATCGGTTTTCGATTAATTATTAAATTTTGAATAACTTTTTTTAATTCACAATTTGAATGTTCTACACGAGTTAATCGATCTTTTAATTGTTCTATATTAAGAGATTCAAATGATTGAAGACTGCGTTCAGCACGTAAACGTCCTGCTTGTTCATCAAGAAGACGATTATAAAAACTAGTATTTAAAAATCATTAATAAAGACAAAAAGTAAATTATGATAGTAGAAATTTTAAACCTTCTTTGAGCAGCTAATTTTTCTTCACAAATAACATCCTGTTCACGAACAACTTGATTAATTTCTTGCATACGAAATTTTTCATTTTCAATTTGTGTTTTCTACATAAATTAAATTAAAATGATGAATAAATCAAATGAATTAAAATTTTAATTTATATTTTACTTGTAGTTTTCGTTGATATAATCGACGTTCTTTGTTATAACGTTGATTCATATATTTTTCAATTTCGTCAACTTTTTCCTATGAAATAAATTCATTTACATACTTCTTTTTCTTTGATAAATATTAATGCTCATCTACTTGAACAAGTTGATTATAATCATTTTTAAGTTTATGTCGAAGATTTCCAATATACTCTTGTGCTAATGAAGAATCATTTCGTTGATTTATTGCCCATTGTAAGTCTCGTTCACTTTTACTTAATTCTTGTTCGAAACGATGTTGGATACGTTCGATAGCTTGACGATGTAATTCACTGGGTGCTCCTTAGTAACATTAATAGAATTAAACAATTGTATGGCCGCAGGTTATAAACACTTACGAGTAGTTTTTTCTCGACAAGAATGCGAACGATGACGTGTTATATTCCAACTTGGCAAAGACATTAATGTTTGAGATCTATCGGCTATCTATAAAGAAAGCCGAGAGCGATTTTCTAAGAAAACAAACTCGAATATAGACAAAAAAAAAATCTATTTCCTAATTGCTTAATAAAAAAATTGAATTCTTTATATTTTAGAAATATAATCTGTTATCCTGTTAAGTTGTTTAATTTCTGAAATATCAAATGGTAGAAATGAAAATAGCATAGAACTTTAATCTCATAGCTAGAAATAAAATGTTATTGAGATTCAGATTAACATTCAAGAAAACACGGATGTAGTTTTTTTGTTTTGGAGGTAATAAATTTTTCAATGTCTTATCAGACCAAAGACTTAAATTGAAGAGCTTAGTTCTTGGTATTTCTACCTACAACTAACTTCCTATAATAAGGAAAAAAGAGTTTCAACCATTCAGTTTCAGAAGATGGAAAAGAACTTTTCAACTCATTGAAATTTGTAAATAGAACAAGCAATTACATCTGAAGACTATTCTGCATAAAATCAATTTCCTTCTTTTTTTTTTAAAGTCTACTTAATTCACAATGCTCGAACTGTTTTTTTAAACTTTTTTATACTTAATCGATTCTCTTTAAATTTTAACAACTGATTGAATTCTCAAAAATGAAATAAATCTAGGATTCTCATATTAACAAAACTTTGTCCAGTAAGGAATTTACATTCTTCCTACGTTTTATTTGTTATAGTATTATTGTTAATTACACAAGAATTCTTAAGTCTTTACACTTAATAACAATAATAAAAAACTAGAAACCATTTCGAAATCAAGTAAATTTTTACTAAAATTTACTCTAAAGTAAACGGTAGGTGTTTTTACAAACCTCTCGTTCTTTTCTTACATTCTTCACCTTTCGATTGACACCTAAGAAAAAAAATTTCAACAGCCATTATTGTTCATGTTGTGATGACATATTCATCCAACAAACTGTACAATTACATGTTTCACTCGTTACTGACATCTGCAGATGACTAATTGTTTGATACAATAATTAAATCAATATAAAATGAAATCAGTAAGAATTTCAACTAATAGATATTATCTTTCGAAACCTAATTGAGTAGCTTATCGATTATTCTTTTTTTTTTGTTTATTAAACCAATTGTAGAATACACAAAATGTCTAAAAATGTCCATAAAATATCCAACCACTTTCCCTAGCAACCAAGCGCGATATTGAAACGATTGAAATCTTTTCGCCATTTACAAATAATACATCAGTATAACTCCATTCGTTCTTGTCAAAAACTTAAGCAAAACTTTACGAAACATGCATAACTTTATCTATTAGTTAATAATACACAGGATGTGGGTTTGGATGAACAATACTCACATCTACGACCCACACCCACATCTCTTCTTTTTTACAGTTGAAGCAAGACAAAACTTTAATGACATAATGAAATATTTGTATGTAAATATATTCAGTAATGTAGATGTATTTTTTAAATACTTATATTGTTTACATTGGATGTTCCCAAATTCTAATCAATCCGTCCTGATATGCTGTACTCTAGTAGATAATCTCTTTGGAAAAACGGTATTTCTTCTAAATTTCATTGATTTATACCATTTCTCATTAGGAGACGTAGCAATTAGATATTTTGTCCAAGTATTTTGGTAATATAAAACTTCTTCCACTTTCTCCAGATGCAATGAAAATTTTTGCCGGCAGAAAAAAGATAGTCAGGAACGATTTGTTTTTTAACTGAGGATTAATGTTGTAAAATCAGCCCTACCACACAACAGGTAAGCTAGTCTAAGACCAGAACAAAAAGTATATTCAATCCGTTTCTTTTGTTTTTCAGTGAAAAAAGAAACGATATGCAAAAAAAACATAGAAAATATGGTAAAACATATGCTAGAAAAATTTGTCTCTTCGTTTTACTATCATTTTTTTGGTATCGTTTGGAAAATAATGGTCATTCCATTAAAAAATTTTCTTACTTTTTCATTTTTTTTCGGATACATGTAAACTTTGACCGAGCTTTGCTGTAATGATAATTCCTAAATATTTGCATTTTTTGACATGGTTTTGAGTGTTGCTATGAATGATCACAAAATGGATATCCACATCCATCTATCAACATTTCAATATTTCGAGGAGTATCTTTATCGGAATGTATTGAAAAACAAGGATTCTGTTACCATGAGAAAATTCAACGAATGAAAGGTAAAAGCATGTGAAAATCGTGTAAAAAGAGATCTACAAAAATCACTAGAGTAGAGTGTTTACAAGCGGCAACTGTCAACCTTAAATCTTCAACGAATAAATAGACTGTTTGTTATTTGGAGACAACAGTCGAGCGAAAAACAAGATTATTCATCTGTATATATATATATATTTCATTCTACATCAATTGAGAATCCTTTGGTGCATTATTCTCTCCAATCATTTGCCAATATTAGGCAATAAAAAAATTAGTCTTAGTTTTCCTAAAGCAGGACATATGCCATTTTAAATAAACAAAACAACCTTTGTGTGTTTTCTTGCCTCAAAAAAGGTTTCTTTTTAGGACATCTATCAAAAAGAATTCGAATAACCTCTAAATAGTTACTTTATAAAGCATTTTTTAAGTAAAAAAAGCTGATGTTTTGGTATTGTCTGTCGATTTCTTTGGTAAAAATCTTTTCCATTCTCGCATAACTTCTTCATACGTTATTTGTTCGACTGCAATATTTTGTATATACGTGATTTGAATGTAAACTGTTGAATATCTTTTGCCTAGTTGGTAATGATAAGCCACGAGAGGGTGGCGAATATATATATGAAAATGAGGTCGAGCCAGTTTCTATATATCCTGACTTTCACTTATCCATTCTAATCTCAGCTTTGTTTTTTTCTCGTAAATAAGATATTCTTTCTGCAAGATATAACTCTTTATCAATAATAAAATGATTTAAGTGAATGTGGGACCTTTCACGTCTATATATTCTTCGCCTTCGCTTCATATTTCTGGCGACTCGAACAAGATACGATGGCCATAATGTCATACATGTCTTAACATTTTCATATGTGCTACATCTATCGTACAATACAGATAAATAGTAAGAGAAGAGGGAAAAGAATGCTTGCTCATCAAAATTGTACACGAAAGAAAGCCAATGCTCACATATACACTTAAGAAACGGTGTGAACATGTCCCAATTCATTTTACAAAAAGAAGAAAGAGATTAGAAGAAAACCCGAATAAAAGTTAGGAGTTCCCTCGTCAAGTACTTCATTGTTCCAACTATTTGCATCATGAGTCATTCCAAAATCAATTACAGCTTCTGAACGACGAGACCTCATTTTCTGTCTTTTCTAACCACGCCATAATATGGTTTCCGTTTATATTATTTGCGGCAATATTCCAAGTAACATGCTTTCCATTTAAATCTTCACATATAATAAGAAAGGTTTATTATAACATTGAGCAAATAGGTGAAAAAGAGGAAGGGATTCTGAAGGAATATATATTACACCTAGTAAAATTGAATCAGGATTGAATTGTATTTCTATCAAAAGAAAACTCAGATCTCTCGTTGCCACATTAAACTATAATGAATGATGGCATCATATCGATACTGCCTGCAAGAATTGGTATCTTCTTGAATTAACCAAATGTAGTTTGGACATGTGGGTAATCTTCCTTTAATAGTTGATTCAATCTCAATGAGAAGATAAACGTGTAAAGAATGATTAACGATGAGGACATCCATATCGGCAATATGAGTATTTAAGTCTTGGACATTATAAAGAAGAAATACTTTCACGTGAGTTCCACTGATTTATGATTTCAGAAAAAAGTTCTTTTTTTGTCTCAATTTTTATACTCTATCAGGATTTCTATTGTTATCTCAATGGCAGAGAAAATTACTGACTCCAAATGAAAAGTTAAACAAAAAGAATTTTAAAATTTTTATAAATAAATACGAAATTGAAATAAAGTTTTTAGACAATAATCAAATCATCATTTTTATATTCGACTTATAGCAGTTTCACAACATTTATAGAAACACACTAATCTTGACATATTTTTGGACTTATCTCTCCGAATGAGTCTTCTTTTAAATAACTATGAGAAAAAAAAGGCAAGCAAGCATTTATGTCATTTACTTATAGTCCTCATATATGTATTCAAGTCTTGTAGCATATTTGAATACAACTAATCTTTTCAACCATTTATTGATGAAAATTTTTCAGTTTTTAAATCAACTTTTCTCAGCAGCACAAATAAAAATTTGAGCAGAAAATGTACTATTAATCAATGTAATAATCAATCTTATTTTTCTCATTATTATAACTCTGATTGATTTTTGCTTTTTGTCGTTTCAATTTTTTAGTTTATTTCGAATATTTTTCAATATGCTTTCATTCAATATCCGATCCTTTTTTAATTATCATATTCAAACACATGGTCTTTAAGATATAGAAGACAATGGACTTATACTTAGGGTAACAAGTAACTGAAATTTACGCTACATCAAGATATATGAAGGTTCTAGTTTCACTAAAATTTTCATTTCATTTGGCCGAACTGTAACGACTCTAGAAGGATAGAAAGTCATGGCAATGCACACAACCAAAAGGATTCCTTGTATCAGAGCGATTCAAAAAATTCCACACTTCTCAAAGATTTTCTCACTCTGAACAAAATTTTTCAATTTGTATTTGTGAGTTAGATAACGGAACGTATGATGGTCACATACTTTTCTTTGAAAGTTGGTTTCGACAAAGAGTTATAAACAAAACATTACGGTAACCTACTCATCGTTATTGTTATACTCTCTAAAAAAAGCACATTTTTCAGAGTTTTGACAACAATGTCGAACATCAACGATACTACTGTTATTTCTATTTTTTTTAATAATAAGGTAGTGTTCGAAATATGATAAAAGACAATAGGACTCTATTATTGCATCAAAAACCCTTGATTTTGACTGGCAACTAATATTTATTCTCGTTGTTATTCAAAATAAATGACATCTATCAGTAGAGAATATACAAAAATCTATAAAAAGTTTTTGAATGAAAAAGTTTAGTCATCTTATGGTCCGAGGGATGTCATAATATCCGGAACTCGAGTATCGAGATTCTCAAACTAGGGGTGACCCTTTATCTTTACTTTTCTTTATAATAAAGGATAAAGATAAATGAATCCTTTACTCTTAAAAAATAAAGATAAATGGATCCTTTATTTTTAAAAAATAAAGTTAAATAAATAAAGGAATACTTTATTTTTAAAAAATAAATGTAAATGAATCATTTAGTTTTAAAAAATAAAAGAAAAATAAAGGAATAAAAGATACTTTTTACGACGACAGATAATGTAATTGGAAGAGCACTAGAATCATGAAATAAATCTGTAGAGAGATTATTACGATTTAAAAATGTAAATTCGATTTAAAATGCGTTTCCCAAGATGAAATTCAAAAATAACGGAAATGAAAGCTTTATTTCTGATCTTTTAGGGGTACTAAGAAAGAGGAAAAGCTTCTTGGAACATTCTAATGTGATCTAAAGCTTTCTATGTATTCAGGCATCTTTGTCAAGCTTTAGTTCAGAATCAAAGAATGTCTCCATCGGATCGATTATCACTAAATCTCCATATTTCTAAATAGAATTTCTTCATAATTTTGAATCTCACTTCTAATTATCCACAACATTACCAAATATACTCTATATGCCCTTAACCTCAGAAAGAATTATAAGTAATAGCATAAGTTTTGTATGTTTCGTGGCATGTCTGCTTGCTTGTGTGAACTGGCAAGTACGTATACATTTGTGGGATTTCCAAGAAGCTATTTAAATTAAGCCCTCTCTATCCCGAAAATTTAGTCAGTCACATATTTTCACCATCTAATTCTTGTCGCATTTATTTGGTTGAGGATAAGAATCTAATTTTTGGAACTCGGGAGTTGGGATTCGCTGTAAATATTGGCGTTATTAACGTGAAAAGGGTGCATAGTGTCATGACTC